TCTTGTAATACCCCTTCCCCACCCCCCACCGCCGCAGCACCACAGTTTCTTTAGAAACTTAACTTCTTTATTTAATCATTACCATGGTGATAAATAAAATAACAATACACTGGATTTGTAAAGACTTGCGCTAAATCTTTCTCCAAGAAAAATTTTCTCCTTTTTCTTTCAATTCGCAGGACGATCGAAAGGAAGGGATGACAGCATTTGTGGAGAAACGAAAAGCCGACTTTACGGACAGTTCACGGTCTGTTAGTTTTCGGGGAAATCGTAGCTTGCGAGAACTGTGGAATGTTGGGGGGGGGGAAGTTTAGACAGGTGAAAGAATAGTAACAGCTTATGCACAGTGACATGTGAAGCGCAACGAAAATATTTAGCGTGAATTTTCTAAAAAAAAACAAAAAGACGATATTAAATAAAATTGAACGAAAAAATAAAATAAATAAAGTGGTATCATGGTCATTTTTAGTTCGTTCGCTCATGTAATACACGGATACCGCGGAGTACGGGAAGAGGATAATTAAGTGACGCACTCTAATTGAGAGCTCTCCAGTAATTATTAACCCAATGCAAACCAAGTTTTTTGGTAGTCATTCTATTTTTGAGTTTGAATGTAGCACAAAACATTTAATGACTTGCCCCACAGAAAACAGTACTTTTTGTTTCCTCTCAGTGCTGAATGGAAAGAAAACTCACTATTCCGCCAGGGGTCTTTCGTTAAGTGCTTATCATCTTAAACGTGTTAGGTTAATAAAAGATGAAACATTTTTGGAGCATTGAAACTTATATTACTTATTTTGTTTTCCTTCAATTATATTTTACTTACACAGATAAGAAATAGGAACATATACATGTACAGTAGAGCAGATAAACTTGCAAATTGTGACTCGTAAATGTATGAATTAGCGCGTCGGAAGAAATGCTGTTGGTTTACTTCTCTGAACAGAAAACACTAGAACTTTGGATATTTATATTTATGTTCTGAAAGTAGTTGAAGTTTTCTTTTGTTTGAGTAATCTGCTGCCACCTGCGCTTTGCTGGAATATTGTCAAAAAAACCGAGTCAATGTATTATTTCAATACGAGGCATTACTAATGTATGAGTTTCAAGCCGTTCCTATTCAGTATCTTAATTTTTTTCTTAAGTTCATTCATACTTTATGAAAAGTTGATAAAAGATGTTTGCATTATAAACAAATACGAGAAGAGCTTGTGGAAAAAATAATCGAAGATGAGAGTACCTTAGTCGTTTTAAAGAGTAGGCAAAGTTTCTCGATTTGGCGAAATTTGACTTAGTTACACTTCAAAAGAAGATTACCGCCTAACTTTGTTAAGAGTGGGTATAAATCTTGAATAGTTCCGCTCCGATAATAAGTTTGAGTAAAAGTCGTAAAAACAAAAGACCTTAATAGAAGAAAAGTCGAGAAAAAATCGGAAACTGAAGGTAAGCGTGAGTGAGAAGCTCGCTGTATTTACTTAAGGTACATACACTGGCTTCACATAAGGTACTCTCGAGTGAGTACCTTATGTGAGCTAGTGGGCAAGTAGGGAATTAAGATCCCATTTTATGGTTCGGTAGTTTAAAAGCCGTTGTATTCTTTCGTCAGGTTTAGAAAAATGTTACTAAAAAATTGTAAGCTATTTGTTGCTTTAAGAAAAGGGCGTCATTTGTCAACGATGTTTTTTTTTTTCTTTTATAAATTACAGGATGAGAGGGCATCTTGTTGGTTTCCTGTTCTGTCCTGTTCTGTTGAGTGGTGTTGCTGTATTTCTGGTGGCATTCAGTTCGTCGCTGAGCACTGACTTGAGCAAGGACGAGGTTTTCGAGAGAGTTGAAGGTAATGCGAGAATACGTTATAGTTCCCAACACAAAAATTAGGCTCTACAACATAAGGCTGTATAACATATTATGATGCCCCTCATTGACGATCAATTTTCTATACTTTCCTCGTTATACTCTGTTTTTGACGACTGTCCGCCTCTCCGTTCCCCTCAAAGACCATGTGATTCCTCCAAAATCCCCCCTCCTTCCCATCCCAGGTGATATATAACGACTGGTCTCTAATTCCTTAGGGTAATAACTACGGGAACTTTAGATTTATGCCCGGAACGTAAATTTGCAACTCTTATATCTTTTAAGGCTACTTCACCTTTTTACAGTATCAGAAATCAAGATAGCTTCTCAGAACTGGTTAAACAACTACACACAAGCTGTTTCCGTACTTTATCGCCGTCCTTTTCACTTTGTTCTCGATTAAAGTATTTACAAATGAATACTCTGTATGAAGATAACTGATGAAACTAACTGAACTTGTAGCTTTCACGACTTTTGTTGCTTTTCCAGGATTTGAGCTCATTGGTCACATCACCAAGACATTATACACTGACGAAATTAACTGTGGATTAAAATGCCTTCAGGATAAAAAATGCCGATCATACAACAGCAAATCCGATGCTAATGATGCAATGAAGGAATGTCAAATGAGTAACCAAACCAAACAATCAAGTCCGGAAAACCTGAGGCAAAACCCACGTTCTACTTATTATGGAACAGGTACTGTTAAGTAAGGTACTTAGGGCTATTTTAACATATGGGTTACCAACCAAGCGCGAGGCCAAGAGGCTGGATATTGGCCGAGTTTGTTTTTTCGCATTGCTATGGACCGAGACGAAGTTGAGTTCCACAAAAATGCGAAAAAAGAACAAGGCTAATATCCGCCCGTCTTGGCCGAACAAGGTTAGTTAATTAAGTATTTTTATATCGCAAAAAGAATTCGCTTTAAAGAATTGAGAATGACTTGTTTATTTCGAGAGCTGGGAAAGAAAGCCAACTGTGTTTGCAGCACAACAAACTCACGAGTGTCGTTTCTGTTTTCTTTGTTTTGACTATCTTCTGCCGCTTTTTGCGTTTCCATCGCCGACATTATTCAAGAATTACAAACGTAGTTCTAATTCTATTGTATTTCATGCGCGGGATCAATGCGGGCAATCCCGACCGGGCAAGATGGGCTCAGGTTGAACACAGGATTCGTTTCATCTTACTCACGAGCGCTATGAGCGATGTAACAAATTATTATATTACTTGGGTGGAGGTTGGGGGGGGAGAGAAGAGAGAATTTTGGGGGGAGGAGAAGAGAGGATTTTGGTTGTGTCAAAAAAAAAAATTAACCTATCCCCGAATTCCCCCTCATTGGTATTCAATTTCTTTGGTCTTAAAAAAAAAAATCTCTGTTAGCGACGAATGATCCCCTATCCGTTCCCCTTGAATACTATGTAAAAAAAAAAAAGATCCTTTCATGCCCCTCCCCCCCCCCTCCGGTAAATGATGACTGACTCAAAAAAAAAAAGCTTTCCGAAGCTCTCTCGTGTTACGTGTTAATTTTTCCTTCAGTTTTCTAAAAAAAAAAAGGGTGCAGTGGATCCTACAAAGATTTTCAAAATCTAGAGTGATCTAATAAAAAAAAAAAAAGAATCACCAGTGGAATAAGACCACATGGGGTGTTTTGTTTCTAAGTTTGAAAAAAAAAAAATTCCAAAGATTATTCTTTCCTCTTCTAATGCAGATAAACGAGGTTTTGATTCTGCTTATCCGGCTCATTCCTGCAAGGAAATTCGGGACTCTGGACACTCCGAAGGTGACGAAAAAAAAAAAATCGACCCTGAGAAGAATGGAAACCCTTTGAAGGTCTATTGTGACATGTCAAAAAAAAAAAGTGGGTGGATAAATTTTTGTTTTTGAGACACGAGGACTTTAACTGGAGTGAAAAAAAAAAAGAGCAGTTTTTATTGAAACATTCTGTGGTCTGGGGTGTTAGTGATTTCTCAAAAAAAAAAATTGTTGTGGTTTTCTAATATGTAACAAATTCTAGTTACATGGGGAGCACTAAAAAAAAAAAAGTTTGTTTTATCTTAGGGGGTTGGCTTCTGGTATCAAACGTTGAGTTCGAAAAAAAAAAACCTAAAGTGTCAGTTGAGACAACGTACCGCGGAATCAGCAGTTCACATATAAAAAAAAAAAAAGGTGCCATGAAAGAGCTCAGAAAACACTTGTTATTCACCCACCTGAGAAAAAAAAAAAATAAGAAACTGGGGCGCACGTTCCACGTGGTCACAGCTTCCAATGGCTCTGAAAAAAAAAAAGTCCAGTACTTTAGCGGTCAGACAGATGAGCAGCCTGACGCGTGTGGTTCAAAAAAAAAAATAAAGTGGGATGACAGTTCCAATTTAGCTGGCATTTGCAAAGACTGGGGTAAAAAAAAAAATGGAACTTACTTTGTTGGAAAGTGGGGACATGGTGAAGATCAAAACAAGTAAAAAAAAAAACCTGCCTTCAGAAAAAATAAGTATCACTTGAAGATCTCTTTGAATGACGGAAAAAAAAAAACCTCCCTGCAATGCGATGATAGCGGTCAGGTCGCCACCTCAAATGGAGATAAAAAAAAAAACTTTGTCCGATAATGCCAAATATCTTTTAAAACCTTAGAGGTTTCTGTTCAAAAAAAAAAACTTGGTTCTGCGAAAAACAATCATGACCACCAATAGTCCATTTTACAGCTAAAAAAAAAAATCCCAAGCCTTTGAACAGGAGTGATGCTAAGGGTGATCTTGTTATGATACAAAAAAAAAAACTTTTCAAATGTAAAATACTTTGTACTGAGTAATCATGCTAACTAGATACAAAAAAAAAAAACAACAAGGTCACCTTCAGCCTCACTCTAAATCAAAGACTTGGGAACTAAAAAAAAAAAAATAACATGGCTTATTAGACAAGGCAAATCAAATACTAATGCAATATTTATAAAAAAAAAAAAGGTTTTAAAGCTGTTATATGTAAGACACCCCTTTCCCTTGTAGTAGGCTGAAAAAAAAAAATCCACTGTTGTTACTATGAAGTTGTAATGTTACATACACCGCACATTGAAAAAAAAAAAAAGACAACCCGCGGTAGAAGTTCAGCTATGCTTATTTCCAAGGACAATAAAAAAAAAAAAAAAAAGTTTTTCCCTTTAATTGGCGACAAAATTTGTAAATATAAGAAATATACAAAAAAAAAAATTGAAGAAAAGGCACTCATAACCAATAAGTTGAAAAAGTAAGGGAATAAAAAAAAAAAAAAAATTATTCACTTCATGGGTAGACTTCTAAATAAAAGTAATGTGGGTGATCAAAAAAAAAAATCTCAGAAACTTGTCTCGAAAAAGGAGCGCTTTAAGCGGGTTATAGGGGAAAAAAAAAAAAGTCTTCTTCGCAAAGTTTTTCTGAATAGGCTAGTAACTCATTGAAGGAAAAAAAAAAAAAAAAATAATTATGTTACTAATACTCCAGTAATGTAGTAAATCTCCTGAAAGGAAAAAAAAAAACTGCCAGCTTCATTGCAACTGTGCTAACTTAAAGGCAGGTTTGTGCTATGAAAAAAAAAAACCGCTTGTTTTTCACATGTATCAAATGCAAAACATGGCAGAGAAATAACGCTGAATACTTAACGAATAATATGTTTCTGTTATGCCTCCTGTTTTCCTCCTCAAATCAATTAAAAAAAAAAAAACTAGTCCTCAGAACTCTGCTAACAGTATATATAGTTGTAAAACTTCTCTTTATCAGTCGGACGCGTTTCAGCTCGTTTCGTCTAAAATATTGTAGGCATGCAAGATACAAAAAAAAAAAACCGTTTTGTTGTGTAGTATCGCTGAGTATTTTTACGAGTTTTATCGTATTAAAAAAAAAAATACGGGCTCGTCAAAATACGGTAAAACTCGTAAAAATATTAGTCTAGGTGAAAAAAAAAAATAAGAGTAAAAATACTCAGCGATACTACACAACAAAACGTCTAAAAAGTTAAAAAAAAAAAAACACGCCAAACTGTTATTTCAGTGCGGGCGAATTTCGCGGATATTTATTAAAAAAAAAAACGTGACAGAAGT